CCTACAAAAATACTGTATAAAGCTGCATCCGTGTATCTGCTGTATTTTCTGTGTATTAAAAAGAATTGTATTCCCTTGATTGTTCGGTAGTTTCATTCCCTTAGTTTATTCGAATGAAACTACCGAACAACCAGACCTCCCCTGTGTGAAGTGTGTCTTCAATTACCCGTTGCAACATTGTTGCGAACGGGTAATTGAACAGTAAGTAGCCGACCTTTGTTCTCGGGGGTGGCCGCCATTCGACAAACGAACACGTGGCGGCGGCCATTTTAAAACTCCCGAACAGTGGTGTTTTGCCGTCGAGTGTCTGGAACTAAAATCGGACACTCGAGTAGGCGAACACCGCTGAGACCTCCACAGCCCTGGTCCGTTCGGTTCCAAACTACCGAACGGCCCCTCGTTCGGTAGATAGAGAATACCGAACGAGGGGATTCAGGCGAACCCTCCCTAGTCTCTATAGCTAGAGGCTTTCATGTATTTTATTCCCTTATGCCAGGACAGAACGCAAGGCCCATTCACATGGAACCGAATTCGGCTATCTCAGTTCGTGCGGTCGGTCATTTTATTCCCTCCATACTTTTCCCGAACCCCTGGTCTGATCTGGGTGATTTTTGGATATGTTGTTCACCCAGATCAGGGCTATCAGGGGATGTATGATTTAAAGAGGTACCCCTACGTTTAGGGGTACATCCAGAAATGGGGGGAATTGGTGTGCTGGATAAGGGGATTATGATGCTGGCTGAGGGGAGGAGATGTGTGGGAGGTTACCAGGACAGGATTGGCTACTGTAATAATTACTGTAAATCCCTCCCTTGCATGGGAGCATGCTTTATAAGGAGACTGTGATTAAAGGCTTGTCAGTTATGCTCCTGAAACTGTGTGTCGTCCAGTTATTGGGATTGCTGTTGGGATATTGCTGTATTTTACCTGCTGGAAACCCTGCCTTTGGATTTACTATTTACTTGTTCCTGAGTCTCACTTGGATTATAAGCGGAGATAACCTGGGTAATATTGCATCTCCGCTACATTGGTTGGCAGCGCTGGGATCCAGACTCACAGAGGAACAAGCCTAAATGGAGTACGGATGGAGATTGATTTTGCCACACTAAAACGCTCCACGCTAAAAGACCTTCTGGAGGCAAAGGGTATACAAGCCAGCAATAAGACAAAAGCGGTACTTATCACTGAACTGATGGCGGAGTACCGAATGGAAGGCGATTCGGTTCCCGAACAAGGGAATTCGGGAGAAACACCGGAACAAAGGGAGTTCCAGAGGCAGGTACAATTTCGGCTGTCTTTGAACACCCTTCAACAGAGATTGTTTCCAAAACGATAACGGAGGTCCAGGAATTTATACTGAGGAGTCAAACAGCGGCCCCAGAACGCAGCTCTGCAGTAAATATGCCACATGAAGGTAAGCCGAAAATACCGTACCAGGCTTTTAAAACATATGTGGAGGCAGAGGAAGATATAGACGCTTTCCTGCAAGATTTCGAGAGACTGTGTGCACTGCATAGAATCAGCGCAGAGGACTGGGTACCTATTCTGGCAGGGAGGTTAACTGGGAGGGCAGCTGAGGCATACCGGACTGTACCGAATGACGAAATACGGAATTACCACAAAGTGAAAGAAATTATATTGGCCAGGTATGCTATAACACCAGAAGCATACCGACGGAGGTTCAGGGATCTAAAGAAGGTGGAGAAAGACTCACATGCTGAGTGGGCATGCAGACTACAACGAGCAGTCTTGGGGTGGGTGCAAGCGAGCAAGGCACGGTCTATGGAGGATGTATTGCAAATGGTACTGCTGGAGCAATTTTATGAGGGAGTAACCAGCGAGGTACAGGAGTGGGTAAGAGACAGAAACCCTACCTCCCTTACCGAAGCAGCCAGGAAGGCAGACGAGTACCTGGATGCACGCAGGCAGCAAAAACCTGCAGCTCCAAAAGTACATTTTAAAACCTTTGGGGGAAATAACTACACGCCAGCTCTACCAAGGTCACTGCCACCACCACCACCACCCGCTGCACAGCCACGTTTCCGCCAGCCCACGTCGGGCCCTTGCCACCACTGCCAGAAGTGGGGACATTATAAAAGGGAATGCCCCCAGCTGCGGGACCGTTCCACCTGGATCCGACCCGGTCCACCACCACCACCGAGAGCCGCCGCAGCCCATCACTACCAGGACATCGTGGCCACACCGTATGGTTCAGCAGTTCCTATCACCACAGTAGAGCAGTGGGAGGTACTGCACGAGGCAGATCCCGTCCAGGCTAACGCAGACAACCGCCAGCACCACAGGCAGACCGTGTATCTGGAGGGTAAAGCGGTTCAGGGGCTACGTGACTCAGGAGCCACCATCACCCTGGTAAAAAGTCACCTGGTCTCAGACCAAGCTAAACTTAGTAAGACTGTGGCCGTCAGGGTAGCCGGGGGAGCAGTATACCGGCTACCCACAGCAAGGGTACATTTGCATTGGGGAGCGGGGGCAGGGCATGTGGAGGTGGGGTTGATGCCGCAGTTACCGGCGGAGGTTTTATTGGGGAACGATCTGGGGAGGCTCACATCTGCTTTTGAGCCCCAGACACCCACCACAGGAGAAGCTCACCCTGTGGTCACTCGACAACAGGCCCGCACCCAGGACTACAACACACTCCCGGAGGTTCAGGTAAGAGATCCTTCCCCTTCCCTTGACTGTGTCCCCTGGGCCCCTCCTAACGAATTTGCAGCTGAGGTAGTGACTGACCCCACCTTGCAGGTGTATAGGGACAAGGTGACAGCAGACACGCCTGGGGGGGAGGGCGAAAGGTTTATTTGGGACAACCAGCTGTTATATCGGGAGACGGATTGTGATGAGGCAGTTAGTGGTACCTCAGCGGTACCGGGTGGAGTTACTACGGATAGCCCATGACATTCCGCTATCTGGACATTTAGGGGTCAGCAGGACCCGATACAGGTTAACCCAAAGTTTCTTTTGGCCGGGAATTAGCCAGGAGGTGCGCAGGTATTGCAACACGTGCGATACCTGTCAAAGGGTGGGGAAAAGGGGGGACCGGCGCAAGGCCAAGTTACATCCCCTCCCCATAATCGAGGAACCCTTTAGCAGGGTAGCAGTGGACCTAATAGGACCCCTCAACAAAGCAAGCCCGTCAGGTAAAAGATTTATCCTGACCGTAGTAGATTATGCCACTAGATATCCAGAGGCGGTGGGCCTGACGAATATACAGGCTGAGACAGTAGCGGAAGCCCTGATGAAGATATTCTCCCGGGTGGGACTCCCCAGGGAGATTGTCTCCGATCAGGGCACCCAGTTCACCGCCGAAGTCACGCAGCGCCTCTGGAAGTTTTGTGACATTAAGCCGGTCATTAGTTCCCCTTACCACCCCCAGACGAATGGGCTCTGCGAACGTTTCAACGGTACATTGAAACAAATGCTCCGAACCTTCGCAGAGACCCACAAGGACTGGGAGAAGTTCCTGCCACACCTCCTCTTTGCTTACCGGGAGGTGCCGCAGGAATCCACTGGGTTCTCCCCATTTGAACTATTGTTTGGCCGCAGGGTACGAGGGCCTTTAGATTTGATCAGAGAGCATTGGGAGGGAGAACGGAGCACTGACGGTACCCCCATCATACCCTATGTGTTGGCATTCCGAGACCGCCTTGAGGCCTTAACTCAGACGGTACGCGAGAATTTGCAGGCGGCTCAGACACGCCAGCGCACATGGTATGATCGGGGCGCCAGGGACCGTAGCTTTCAGGTCGGGCAGAAGGTGTTAATCTTAAAACCTGTCCGACACGATAAGCTGCAGGCCGCCTGGCAGGGCCCTTATAAGGTGGTGGAACAACAGTGTGACACCACTTATATAATCGGCTCGTGCGTTGGTACTGGGGGGCGACGCATGCTCCATGTGAACATGATGAAGCCCTACCAGGAGCGCTCGGAGGAAGTGACCGCTATATGTGCGCCTAACTCCGAGGAGTTTGACAGTTTACCTCTCCCGGATCTGCTGGGAGAGGGTCAGTTATCCGGGGACTTAGGGGAGGTCACCCTGGGGGATCGGTTGAGCCCACAGGAGCGGAGCGAGGTACAACAGCTGTTAAGGGAGAAGCAGGATATCTTCTCTAATGTACCTGGTTACACTCCTCTGGCCACTCACCGAGTAGACACCCCAGGGCAACTTCCCATGCGTCAGACCCCGTACCGCATCCCAGAAGCGGTACGGGCGAACATGCGCAAGGAGATAGATGAGATGCTCCAGCTGGGGGTGATTGAGCCCTCTGACAGCCCCTGGGCATCTCCGGTAGTACTAGTACCAAAGCGGGACGGCACGACCCGGTTTTGTGTAGACTACCGGAGATTAAATGAGAAGACGGTCTCGGACGCCTATCCTATGCCCAGGATAGACGAACTCCTGGATCGGATGGCGAGGGGGCACTATCTCACCACCATTGACTTGTGTAAAGGGTATTGGCAAATACCCTTGGCACAAGACGCCATCCCTAAGTCGGCCTTTGTCACCCCATTCGGCTTGTACCAATTTAAGGTCATGCCGTTTGGGATGAAAAACGCCCCGGCTACTTTTCAGCGGATGGTGGACCGCCTCCTAGATGGGTTCCAGGATTATACCTGCGCATACCTCGACGATATTGCCATTTTCAGCAATACCTGGCAGGAACACCTGACCCATATAGGAGCGGTCCTAGACAGGATTAGGGCCGCTGGTTTAACGCTGAAACCAGCCAAATGCAGCATAGGAATGGCTGAAGTACAGTACCTAGGTCATCGGGTAGGATGCGGCAAGCAAAAGCCGGAACCAGCCAAAGTAGAGGCTGTAGCTCAATGGCCCACCCCTAGGACTAAGACCCAGGTGTTAGCGTTCTTAGGAACGGCCGGATACTACCGGAAATTTGTCCCGAATTACAGTGCCCTGGCCAAACCTCTCACCGACTTGACCCGTAAAAACCTACCCCGCCAAGTAACCTGGACCCCGGAGTGTGAACAGGCATTTCAGTTGTTAAAAGATGCATTGACAAATGCCCCTGTCTTGGCAGCTCCCAATCCAACTAAACGTTTTCTTGTCCACACAGACGCTTCTATGTTTGGATTGGGAGCAGTATTAAGCCAAGTCGGGGCCGATGGCGGAGAACATCCCGTGGCTTACATCAGCCGGAAACTGTTACCTCGAGAAGTAAGCTACGCCACCATCGAGAAAGAATGCCTGGCTGTGGTGTGGGCCCTGAAGAAATTACAGCCATATTTGTACGGCCAAGCTTTTTCCCTGCTCACGGATCACAACCCGTTAGTATGGCTAAACCGGGTGGCTGGGGACAATGCCCGGCTGCTGCGCTGGAGTCTGGCGCTGCAGCCCTTTGACTTTAATATCCAGTACCGCCCGGGTAAACAGAATGGAAATGCTGATGGGTTGTCTCGACAAACTGACCTAGAGAAATGATCCGTGAGCCTCCCCGGACATCCCCAAGCCGATCCGTGTTGGATCAGACTGTGTATGCCGGCTTGTGGGCAAGGGGGAGCAGTGTAGCGGATGGCACCAGGCGACCCTACAAAAATACTGTATAAAGCTGCATCCGTGTATCTGCTGTATTTTCTGTGTATTAAAAAGAATTGTATTCCTCTGATTGTTCGGTAGTTTCATTCCCTTAGTTTATTCGAATGAAACTACCGAACAACCAGACCTCCCCTGTGTGAAGTGTGTCCTCAATTACCCGTTGCAACATTGTTGCGAACGGGTAATTGAACAGTAAGTAGCCGTCCTTTGTTCTCGGGGGTGGCCGCCATTCGACAAACGAACACGTGGCGGCGGCCATTTTAAAACTCCCGAACAGCGGTGTTTTGCCGTCGAGTGTCTGGAACTAAAATCGGACACTCGAGTAGGCGAACACCGCTGAGACCTCCACAGCCCTGGTCCGTTCGGTTCCAAACTACCGAACGGCCCCTCGTTCGGTAGATAGAGAATACCGAACGAGGGGATTCAGGCGAACCCTCCCTAGTCTCTATAGCTAGAGGCTTTCGTGTATTTTATTCCCTTATGCCAGGACCGACCGCAAGGCCCATTCACATGGAACCGAATTCGGCTATCTCAGTTCGTGCGGTCGGTCATTTTATTCCCTCCATACTTTTCCCGAACCCCTGGTCTGATCTGGGTGATTTTTGGATATGTTGTTCACCCAGATCAGGGCTACCAGGGGATGTATGATTTAAAGAGGTACCCCTACGTTTAGGGGTACATCCAGAAATGGGGGGAATTGGTGTGCTGGATAAGGGGATTATGATGCTGGCTGAGGGGAGGAGATGTGTGGGAGGTTACCAGGACAGGATTGGCTACTGTAATAATTACTGTAAGTTCCTCCCTTGCATGGGAGCATGCTTTATAAGGAGACTGTGATTAAAGGCTTGTCAGTTATGCTCCTGAAACTGTGTGTCGTCCAGTTATTGGGATTGCTGTTGGGATATTGCTGTATTTTACCTGCTGGAAACCCTGCCTTTGGATTTACTATTTACTTGTTCCTGAGTCTCACTTGGATTATAAGCGGAGATAACCTGGGTAATATTGCATCTCCGCTACACAGGCTATCTGGGGATTTGTGATACAAATGTGAGATGTTCGGTAGTTGTAGAATTATATATTTTTGTGTGTTTTCTGGCATTTTATTTAAGATGGCGATTTGTCTTTGTCCTGGAGATAATTGAATTACTTCTCAATTATCTCCAGGGCAGAGGGGAGGAAACCATATTGCATTGTGGGAAAAGTTTACATCTGTATATCTGAAATGTCCCCATGTCTATCTGTCATTACAGTCTCCCATTTGGTCCCCTAGGGGAGTGTCCACCAAGTGGGAGACCTGCATAAATACGGGCGGGTAGCCCACAGTAAAGCCAGATCCTGTTTGACCCTCAATGCGGAGCTTCTGTCTCGTTATTGGGGGGGATTTATTATTTACGCCTAGAGACTGATTATTGGAACCGAAAGCCGCTTGGTGGATATCTTTGTTCGGCGGTTAGCGGTGGTTTGTGGATTTCTGTTCAGGAGTTTGGAGCCTTTCACGGATCCCGGTCGAGAGATTACCGCTTCCCCTGATGGTGGTTCGTATGCTGCAGCATATGCGGACGGAATTACTGATATTGCGAAAGGGGAAGGTTAACTAAACGGCGGTTTCTCTTAAAGA